GAGGGGAGGGAAGGAGGGGAGGATGAGACGGGTGGGAACGGAGCAACATAGGGTGAGAGCGCAGAACAAGAGAGGCGGGACGGGCACGTGAGGGACGGCGGGACCAAATGTGGGACTGAGGGGTAGGGTCAGGAGACAGCGGAGGGGACACAACAGGAGAACGAGGAGGAAGACGGGCCGGAGACGAGTCTGGCGGCGGGAAAACAGGACCGTAGACCGGAAGGTCAGCAGGCGGCGGGGGAGACACTGGCGAGTGGTCCGGGGAGGAAAGGCCGAGCAGGCGGAGAGCGGAGACCGGCGGTGACGGCGGCTGCGGCGGCGGCGATCGCTGGGCCGGAACGCTCTAACCAGGAGAGGCAGAACGACTGTTGGCAGGACACCCAACAGCAGCACCCCCAGAACCAACACCCCCAGAGCAAGAACCCTCGCCAACACCAGCGGCACCCCCAGAAGTCGTCGGACAAACACCCGCCTCCACACCAGCACCCCCAGGGGCCACGGGCGACCGCGGCAGTGGCGGCGACGACTACAGCGGCGACGGCTGCAGCGGGGTCAGCGACTACGACAGTGGGGGCGGAGGCACCGGGGAAGGGGGACGCGGCAAGGACAGACCGGGGGAACCACCAGAGTTAGCAGACTCCTCAACTGGGACAACTGACGGGAGGGGAGTGACGTGAGAGACACCAGACGGGGCAGGACGCGGCGGGAGAGGAGCAGGGGCTATCGGGGGAGAGGGAGCGAGGAACAAGGGCGAGGCAACCGGGAGACCTCGGTGAGGGAAGCGGTGGTAGAAGGAGACAGACTCGTCAAAGGTGACGTTACGAGAGTGGAGGAAGCGGTGAGAGGGCGGGTGGTAGAAAAGCCAGTCAGACGAGTCCAGGGGAAAACCGAGGAAGACACAGGGGACAGTGCGGGCAGTGAGCTTGTCCGTGCCAGAGGCACGAACGTTAGCAAGACAGCCCCAGACGTGGAACGCAGACGCGTCACCGGGGGACCCTGTCCAAAGGAGGGTCGGCGAAACCTGCGGCCGCTGGGAGCGTGGCCACAGGTTAAGCTGGTGAGCGGCGTAGCGAACAGCGAACGGCCACAGAAAATGGGGGGCATCGGCATGGATCATGGAGGTACGGGCGACCTCCATGACCAAGCCGATGCGGCGCTCAGCAACCCCATTCTGCTGTGGCGAGTCCGGCAAGGTGTACGACTGGGTGATGCCCTCCGCACGACAGAACTGTCCAAGCCGACCAGAAGCGAACTCGCCGCCACGGTCAGAGTGGAGACACAACACGGGGAGACCGCGGTGGAGACGCGCTGCCACAACCCACGGGAGAAGAACGTCGGGCACGTCGGCCTTCCGCTCCAGGGGAAAAACCGTGGTGTAGCGCATGTAGTCGTCAACGAGCACAAGGAAGTAGCATTCACCACGCGGTCCGGGGACGGGGGCAGGGCCCCAAACGTCCAGGTGCAGGGTCTGAAGGGGGGCAGTAGCAGGGCGCAGCGAGGAGGAGTGAGGAGCCTCGGCGGAGCCGGCCCTCGACGCAAGGTGTGCACGGTGGCGCAGTCGAGGGAGGAAGGGCGGGGAGCGACGCAGGGAGACCTAAGACAAGACCGTGTTGGGACATGTGACGCAGACGAGAGAGGGCAGGGTGACCTAAGCGGTGGTGCCAGAGGAGGGACGGGTGAGTGAGGGAACGACACGAGCAAGCTGCAGCAACCTGGGAGGACGTACCAACCGGACGGGAAGCGGTGTCTAGGGTAAACAGGCCGGACACTGGGTCCCGGGGGAACGTCGCAAGGGGGGAACGTGAGACAGCCTCATAACAGACAGCGAACCGCTCGTGCCCGGGGAACGTGGTGGTGATGCCGAGGTCCTGAAGACAGCCGACACCAACCAGGTTCCTCGAGAATGAGGGAACGTGGAGGCCTGTAAGGGAGCCCGAGGGAACTGCTGGACAGGGAAGGGACGTAGAACTGCGAGCGACAACAGGACCCGCAGAGGGGTCAGCGAGAGAGGCAGGCGTAGCAAGCGGCGTGAGCGCAGAACGGTCGCGGAAGAAGCAGGCAGAAGCACCGGAGTCGAGAGTGAAGTACAGCGCCGCAGTGGCGGGGACAAGGAACGGAGCCGGTGCAGAGACGAGGCTAGACAATCTAGGCAGTCCTACGCCTGACGCAGCAGGGGAGGCTAGGCTACACAGCGGTGCAACACCTAAACTAGAGAACACAGGGTAATAAGATCCAGCAACACTAGCAGCGTCAGAATACAAAGCATGCAAAGCAGCACCTATCTGATCCATGTCTAACTCAAAGATCGGCACACCCTGGCGGAGTAGGCGGTGCCAGTCAGGGAGGTCCGGGGCCGGGCCAAAGACATCGTCGAGGCGGCGGAAACAGCGAGCAGTCGGGTGCGGGCGGCGGCACAGAGTGCCGCGAAGGGGCCCGGTCTGAAGCTGGTACTGAGAGGTCATAGCACCGGAGCCACTGGTAGACGCCAAGCTGCGCGGGCCGCCACCACTGCCACCACCTCCTGAGGTGCCGGGCCAACTAGACGGGAGCCGAGCCCACTGCTGCGTGAGCTGCGGCGGGGACTGCGGCTGCTGCTGAGACGGCAGCTGCGGCGCGGGCTGCTCCTGCTGCGGCTGGGGCTGCTGCTCCTGACCACCAAGGCTAGTCCCCCCAGACGGACTACTCTCACGACCACCAACACCACTACCGGCGGCACCACCTCGACCACTCTTGCGACCACGGCCACTGCGGCGCGAGCGCTGCTGCGGGTGGACCACAGCAGCCGTCTCAGTGAGGGGGGTGGCCGTGGCGACCGCAGCCGAAACGTCAGTGAACGTGCACTGGGAGGGGGCACAGCCGTGAAAGATAGAGACTGCCGGCGCACCGCTCGACTGAGCGATAGTGCGCTGGCGAGTCTCGATCTCGGTGAGGGTGTCGACAAAGGCGGTGAGAGTGAGGTCAGCCGGGTGCAGGCTAAGGAAGTGATCGCGTGCACTAGCGAGGCGGTTTGGCAGGCGCATGGCGATAAAATAGAGCGTCATGCAGAAAGGGGGGGGGAGCGCAGTGAGCTGGGCAGCAGTGCTAGCAGTGCGATAGCGGGTCTCTAGGGCACGCAGGTGAGTGGCAAAGTCTGCGACGGTAGGGAATGCTGCAAGGTCTGGGAAAAGCATAGGGAAGAGCAGGCGACCAGCAGAAGCAGAGGCAGGTGTGGAATAGCGGGCAATAACTGCGTCTAAATAAGCTTTGGCCGTCTCAATAGCAGAAAAACGCGAGCGCTCAGAGACAGGGAGGGCGTGGCTAATGGCAACCTGAGCGACTGCATCTCGGGAGTCCCAGAATGCACAGGCAAGCGCAGCAGTAGAGAAGGTCTCACGGTCAGCAGAGAAGGGATCAGCAGGGAGGGGAGCAGGTGCGGGGGGGCGGGGGAGCAAGCCGTCAACATGGACGACCAAAGAGTGGCCATCCTGGCGCTGACCTGTAAGCTGGCGGCGGAGATCGGAGAGCCAGGCGGCGAAGTCAACCGCATGGCCCTCGGCGTCCAGTCGGAGCACGAAGTCCGCCATCGTGCTGGGTCAGCGGCACCGCTCCACAGGAACACAGCGACGCAGAACCACAGCGACAGCCCCCTGCCAGGACGGTGGCCACGAAGCGCTTCAGCACGGGCGAGCCGAGGAGACGGAGCCCGAGGGGGCACGGCAGGTGCGGTGGGGCCAGGCAGGTGCTGGCGAGGCCAGGCAGGCGGGGCGGGGCTAGGCAGGCGCAACGGGGCCAGGCAGGGGCGACGGGTCCAGGAGGCGCGGGGCCAAGCAGGTGCGCGACGGGGCCAGGCAGGGGCCGCGGGGCCAGGAGGCGCGGCGGGGCCAGGCAGCGCGGCGGAGCCAGGCAGGTGCGGCGGGACTAGGAGGCGCAGCAGGGCGAGGCAGGCGCGGTGGGGCCAGGAGGCGTGGCAGGGCCAGGCAAGCGCGGCGAGGCCAGGCAGAGGCGGCGGGGCCAGGCAGGCGCGGCGGGGCCAGGCAGGGGCAGCAGAGCCAGGCAGGCACAGCGGGGCCTGGGAGGCGCGACGGGGCGAGGCAGGCGCGGCGGGGCCAGGCATGCGCGACGGGGCCAGGCAGGCGCGGCTGGGGCCAGGGAGGCGCGACGGGGCCAGGGAGCGCGGCGGGGCCAGGCAGGCGCGATGGGGCCAGGCAGGCGCGGCTGGGGCCAGGCAGGCGCGACGGGGCCAGGCAGGCGCGGCTGGGGCCAGGGAGGCGCGGCTGGGGCTTGGCAGGCGCGGCTGGGGCCAGGGAGGCGCGACGGGGCCAGGGAGCGCGGCGGGGCCAGGCAAGCGCGACGGGGCCAGGCAGGTGCGGCTGGGGCCAGGGAGGCGCGATGGGTGCTAGGAGGCACGGGGGGAGGCCCAGAATGGGCGCGGCAGGCTAGGAGGCGCTAACGGGGCCCAGGGGGGGGGGCGCGACAGGTTAGGAGGCGCTAAAGGGGCCCGGGAGGGGCGCGACAAGGGCTAGGAGGCGCGGCAGGGGCTCAGGAGGGGCGCGACGGAGCCTAGGGGGGGGGGGGCGGCGCGACGGGGCCTAGGTGAACGCGCGACGGGGCGGAAGCGGTAGGTGGGAGGGGTCGAACCTACGGAGGATACCATGTCAGAAACTAAAATTTAACAAGTGTAGAATAGAGAGAGACAACAAGGGTATATACCTAAGAGTGTTGTACCCTCTACGAGGTGACCCTATACATATGTTTGACAGTGCCACCCTGAGCTGTTTGCTTCTTGCTTAGCTTCACCCATTGTCTAGCCTAGGGGGTGTGTCAACTTATACATATTAGCTATGTAGAAGTTTTAGGCTAGACTGGGGTATGCTTGTAGTGAGTACAACCAACTAGTATTTGTTCTAGGTTTCACCTTCTAGTTCATTCATTCAGTTCTTACTTTAACAGTTTTATCCGGGGGAATACGGTAAGAGAAAGTGTGCTGAGCAGAGAGCTGGACTTGGTATTCCTTTAGGGAAAAAACTTCGCTTTTGAGGGACAAGCAGCATGTATTTGTCAACTCCTTGGATGCCTTCATGATCCATGTCAGATCTCATGTGTTGTAGTGTGCACATGCTGTACAACATACGGTGCACAGGGACAGGGTACTGTTGGCCAGGGGGTTAGATGTTGTTCTACAGCAATGGCTAGGCACTATGTTCTTAGATCAGAAGTTAGGGATCCTCAGCCTGCGGTAGCAAGCTAGGGCGGGATGGCTACGTGACACTACCATCCCAAGTCGTTTGCAGGTATGTATGTGGTATGTGTGTATGCACATGTGTGCATAGAGTGCTCCTGAGCTTCTCACAGGAAGCAGTTGCTCAGACTGCAACGTGTGCTTGTCTAACACCCTGCAGAGGGTGGTTTGTCCACCCCTCCCCCACTTGCACGCCCCAGCTGCCCTCTCTCATGCCGTGTGTCCTTCCACATACACATCTCCAACGGCTGCTGCCCCTGCAGCATCAGCAGCAGCAGCAGCATCATCATCCCACCCTCCTGCCCCCCCCGCCTTGCACTTGGGCACTTTCACGCACCCCAGCACCTGGTTGCCATTGCTGCACCGGCACCGCTTGCACTCGTCCAGGGCATCCGGTATCCCCTGCACGCCGCGCGCATAATATTTGGGCCCCCACCCGTCGCCCGCCGCCATGCACGTGTTTAACTCCCCCGCCGGCTCGCACGTCCCTGCGTCGATGGGCCGACCGTGCTTGTCCGTGCCTCCCCCGCCCACCTCCTGAATGACGCACCGGCTCTGCCGCTGGGGGCACGCCACCCCGCCCGTGCCGCTCACCGCCTTGCCCTCCCAGTCCACGTAGCACGGCCCGATCACCTGGCAGTCGCAGCGCGCCGTGTTGACGCCAAGCGCGGCGAGGATGGAGGATCGCAGGAACGACTGCGCGGACACGGAGAGGATGCCCGTGTCGCCCACGTGCCGCGACAGCGTTTCCGCCGCGAACGCCGCGGCCTGCGCCGTCGCGTCGGCGTTCTCAGGGTGGTCGTTGCAATCGCAGCGGTGGCACGCGGGGTTGGTGCTCACGCCCGTCGTGCCCACCGCGTACGGCTGGCTCAAAAAGGTGCAGTGCGGGGAAGCTGGGAGCGCCGGGGAGGACACGGCAAGGCAAAGGTGAGACGGCGGAGGGAGGCAGGGAGAGGGAGAGAGGACGGCATGAATCATGGAATGTGCTCCCCACAATGGACACGGTGCCGGGTGACTGAGGACAGGTGAGCAGGGGAAAAAGGGAGGGGGAGGATGGTTTGAAGGCAAGTCGAGAGGTGGACTAAGAGGGAAAGAGAGATGCGGAGCAGAGCATTCGAAAGAGAGATGGAAGGAAGTAGAAGGCGAGATTGAGAGCGCAGGGAAGCAGAGCGATGAATCGAGGCTTGGGTGTGAGGGAGGAACGAGAAGGCAAGCGAGGAGCGTGAGCGGAGCGGGTATTACTGGTGTAGGAGGCGTTGCAGACGCCCCTGTAGAAGGGGTCCTTGGCCGTGGGCACTCTCGTCACCACGCACCTGCACGCACACCACACCCACGCCACACAGAACCACCACGACGCACGCTTGAGCCACGGGATGCGCAAGGCTAGGACCCCACACTACGGGTGAGAGGGAGGGCGCGAGGAAGGGGGTTGTGCTGTGAGAAAGCTGGAGAGAGCGAGGGAGAGGGAGCGTCGCATGCACGCACACGAAAGGTGAGGCGGCGCACGGCTCCCCTGCGGGCTTGAGCTTTGAGTCCAGGCGGCACGCGGAGCCGTCGGGCAGCCCGCCTCCCCCTGCCGACGTCGACGCTCCCCGCAGCGATGGTTGCCGGTCTGATGAGGAGGGGGCGATGCACGGGGGGCCGAGGGAGAGAATCAACGCGCGAGGGCTTAATCACCGCTCATACCGGCGTATGCTGGGAGATACAACGGCATGATCTCAGTGTATGCACCTTGCGCGGACGAGAGGAGGGGGAGGAGGAACAGCGAGAGCGCCACGAGACGGACAACTGGAGCTCGAGCCGGCATGGTGCGAGAATGCGTCAATTCGACTTTCAGATCGGCAACTCCGCGCAGAGCGACAGCCGTGGTGGACGGGCTGGTGGGACGGCGCGACTGGTGGTTTCTAGTCTGTGCCTCTTGTGGAGCCTCACTACCCAAACAGCGAGTGCCTGATATTCTCTTAGCTGCAGAAGTTGAAGACTTGCCGATACTCAGATGACACGCACGAAGCTTATACGTTCAACACAGCAAGTCTTGGAAGAAGCAACGGTGGTAGGTTGAGGTCGGAGAATTGGAGAAATTTGAACAAATCTCGGCTTTGACTACTATGAATCTGGTTCGTAAGAACACTCTCCGAAGCTCTCGGTGTACCGCGATGCACAACCACTTGAAACATCGTATTAAACCTTTCTCCAAACCATGGAAGTGAACTGGCTCGATTTCGGCAAAACGGAGGCAAGTGTTCCGCACGCAACGGCACTTCACTTGCCCGCGCAATTTTGGAAGGATTTGGTGGAAGCGGGCGATGAAAGTGGAAGGAGGTCCCAGTAGAAAAAACGAAGGTTTTGAAAAGTCGACTCGCGCTTTGATGTCATCAGGGGTTGCCCTCGCCAACATTCCTCTCAACCTGCGGCTCGTATTGACCAACCAGCTGATGTACTGGTTGAACGAACCAACCGAGCAGGCCTGTTATGAATTAATAAGGGTAATAACAGGTAGTGTAATAAAGGAGTAGTAATTCAAGAGTCTCGATACAAATGAAGGCCTAGGCATTTATAGGCACGAACAGAGCTAGCCGAGAACCACGCAAACAGGTTGGGGCGATTCGGTTGGCGAAAGCCACGGAAGCGCTGCGCGTCGAGGTTTGGGTTCGCGAAGTGGTTCGGGACCGAAGAAAGTGGCCGAGGCTGAACTTCCGAGAGTCGAGGGCGTACGCGCTGTAGTCGAGCTCAGTAAGGAAAAGAAATTTCCTTACACCACCCCCCCTTCCGGGATGAGACTACCCACATCCGGGACATGTCGTCGGTGTAAATAGTCCCGTACGACTTTGTGTTCGCCGAGCATAGCTGCGGTGACCCAAGGATCGTCATCAGTCGTGCGATCGACCCATCGTACAAGGAAATCGACAGCTGCTGTATCTCGATGGCTGCGCACGCGATGAGCGAGAATCTTCGAGGGCTCGATCGTCGGCTCGGGTACTGGGTTGACCGTAGGATTGATGTGTTGACGGTCGAGATCAGTCGTACTCTGGACGAACGGTCGCAGAAGGCTGAAGTGGAATGAATCGTGAATTCGCCAGTCGTTCGGCAGTTGCAGTTGGGCGGTGACGGGTGTCACCATGCGAATGATGCGGAAAGGCCCGCAAAATCGTGGTCGTAACTTATTTGGGAGGGGAACCCCCAAATTTCTGGTGTCGAGTAAGACCAATTGCCCAAGGGTAAGAGTTAAGTTACGGCGTCGTCGGCCAGCTTGCTGCTTAGCCCGTTGGTTGGCTTTGAGGATGGCATCAACGGCCTTTTGCTGAGATTGTCGGAGATTTTCGACGAATTGCTGCGACCGTGGTGCCGGATTTCTATCGGTGGCGATAGAGGGGTTGTCGGATCCATCCCGTAATTAAAGAAGAATGGGGACTGAGTAGTCGTGGTTGATGGGGCGTTGTTGTACGCAAACTCGATCAGTGGAAGAGAATCTTCCCACTGGGCCGGGTCTGTGCGCGTCGTGCGAATCGGCTGCTCCATCGTCTGATTTGTGCGCTCAGTATGACCGTCCGATTGCGAGTGGTATGCTGTGGACAGATGCAGACGTGTGCCGTACTGCTGCCAGGTTTTTGTCCAGAAGTTCGACGTGAACCGAGGGTCGCGGTCGTTGATGATTGCGGAAGGGATGCCGTGTAGACGCACGATATCTTGAGGAACAGCTTCGCTGTCTGCTCGGCAGTGATTGTCGTTTTGCAGGCGGCGAAGTGGGCCATCTTGGTCAACCGGTCAACGACGACGAGGATTGCGTCGTTACCGCTTGGGCCAGCTGGCAGGCCAGTGACGAAATCCATCGTCACCTGTTGCTAGGGTCGGCTGGGTGGCTCGAGCGGCTGCAGTAATCCCGCAGGTCGAAGTTGTGACGACTTCATGCGTTGACACGTGGCGCAGGAGGCGACGTACTGTTGCACGTCTGTCGACAAGTCCGGCCAGTAATAATTACGGCTCAGTAATTTGGCAGTTTTGTCGATACCGTAGTGACCCGAGAAATTTGAGTCGTGTGCCTCCTGTATCAGTAGCTCGCGTAAGGTATGGTAGGTGGGAACCCAAATCCGATTGGTACCGGATTTTAGGTAATAAGCCCCCTGCTTGACCGTCAGTTGGGGATGGCTGTTAGTGATGAAGAATGGGTCGGTACTATATCCGCGGGTGAATAGACCAGTTAGCAACGGATTAGCGTGGGTGATTAGGACTGCGGCGGTATGGACTGAAGGGCGGGTCAGTGCGTCCGCGATGTTGCTTGCCCCTCGTTTGTAGGTGACTCGGTAGTGGAAATTCGACTGGAGATAATCTAGCCAGTGAATCTGTCGGGGATTGAGGGTCGGTTGGGCGCGGATGAACTGTAGCGATTTGTGGTCTGTTCTGACTGTCACGTCAGCGCCCGTCAGGTAGCATCGCCAGACTTTGAAAGTGTGGACGATGGCGGGTAACTCTTTGTCGTGGAGGGGATAATTTCGCTCGGCCGGATTCAGCTTTCGTGACTCGTAGGCGATGGGTTGAAATCCTTTGCCGAAGTCTTGTAACAGTACCGTGCTAACAGCCATGTCGCTAGCATCGGTGATGAGCTCGAACGGACGGTGAGGATCTGCAATGCGAAGAACCGGAGGTGTTGTCAGGAAAAGTTTGAGCTGGTCGAACGCAGCGTGCTGCTCTCCCCCCCCATTCATAAAACTTGCCTTTCTTCAGGAGATCCGTGAGAGGGGAAATTACCCCCGCCATGTTCGGAATGAACCGGCGAACGTAATTCACAAACCCCAGGAAACTCTGAAGTTCGCGGAGATTAGCCGGCGGCTTCCAGTCTTGGATGGTCGCGAGTTTCTTCGGGTCGATTTTAACACCGTGGATGGAGATAACGTGTCCCCAAAACTCCAGTTCTTGTTTCAGGAACTCGCATTTAGAACCCTTGGTGATGAGTCGATGCTGCTGCAGGAGAGAGAAGGCTGCTTCCAAATCCTTCAAATGCTGCTCCCGGGTAGTACTGAATATCAGGATATCGTCGAGGTATACAATGACGCATTTATCCAGCAACGGCCGAAAAATTTCGTTCATGGTCAACTGGAATGTGGAAGGTGCGTTTGTTAAGCCAAAAGGCATAACCGTAGCTCCCGTTGCGGGTTCGGAAAGCCGTCTTGTAGCAGTCAGCTTCCTTGACGCGGATTTGATGGTAACCGCCTCGCAGGTCAATTTTCGAGAAGAACTTTGCCCCACGAAGTTGATCGATGAGTTCGCCGGCACGCGCGATAGTATAGTGGGACTTGATGGTAACACAGTTCAAGGCTCGGTAGTCGATGCACATTCGTAGACCGCCGTCTTTCTTCTGGGTGAACAGGATCGGAGCTGCGAAGGGTGAAGTACTAGGTCGAACGAAGCCTTTCTTGCGCAGGTAGTCTAGCTGAAGTTGAAGTTCATCCAGCTCTGGCTGAGTCAGCCTCCATTGCGTACGAATAGTCGGTTGCACACTAGGTTCCAACTCGATTTTGTGGTCGTGGGCTCGCTCAGGTAGCAAACCCGGCGGTAGGTCATCTAGAAAAATGTCAGCGTGCGTGCGGATCAATGTCGCCAAGTCGCCAGGGACAGCTGCGCAGAGTTTGTCGATGTCGGCCGGTACGTCGACTGTCGTGGATGCGATCCATCGAATGGCGTATAGTTGCGCCCCGCGAATCATCAATTGTGAGAGTACGACCCCGTTACACCACTGGTCCTTTTCCCTATTTCCTTTTCCTTCCATTTCTCTTTTTATCTCATCTCATTTGGTTTCCTATTCTCCATTTTCCCTTAACCTTTGGTTTATCCTACTATTATAATTATATCACCGGCCAGGCTTGGGATGTACAGGGCGCTATATCTAGCGTAATCCTGCTGTAATCCCTTAAAGCCAATAGCCTCGCGTGGCTATACGCAGGGTGATTCTATCTTCTAGAAGGGTCCATTCCCTTAGGACAAGATAAACCCGGTTACCTGATGTACTCTGGAAGTATAAAAGCGCCTTGTACTGATCGATAGTGCAATATTTCCTCGAGTCATTCGATCCTGTAACACTTGGTAATCAGAGTTATTCTCACTCGGCCGCGCTCAACAAAGCAGCAGCAGCGGGAAAACCTGCCTAAAAAAACCGTCGGGGGCGACCAATTCGACGCCGATTCTGGTAAGCACCAGCTCCGCGTTTTTTCGAATCACCCCCCCCGCGCGTGTTTTGAACAAGACGGCAATCTTCGACAACGCCGAGGTTACCCAGCAGCTCTTCGCGCGCATCGCAGCCCTTCAGGAGGAGATGCGAGCCGATCGCGAAGCGTGGCGAAACGAGTTCGAGCGAGTAACTCGACTCGCCGGAGTGCAACACGGCTCGACAACGACGACGACACAGCATTCGCAGCAGTTTCTCGAGGCTCCGAAACCGCGCCCACCTGAGCCGTTCGATCCAAGCGATCGAAACTCCGAGGCCCGCAGATGGATCGCCGGAATGGAGATCTACTTCGCAGCCGTCTGATGGAGCTCGCCAATCTGGGACAGACAACGTGTACGACTCACGGCGACACTGATGCGAGGGCCGGCACTCGAGTGGATTGGCGGCAACAGTACCTTCATCCACGGTGAAGCCACGTGGCAGCAGTTCCGCGCCGACCTGCTGAAACGCTTCGAGCCGATAAATTCCAGTTTCCTTGCTGGGGAAAAAAATCATCGACACCGACAGTTCAGGAGTGTAGCGCAGTACACGCAGCAGATGGAGGAATTTTATAACCGAATTCCCGATCTGACAGAAGGGGAAAAAGTACAATCGTACCTCGCCGGGCCGAAGACCGAAGTCGAACGACAAGTGGCAGCGTCAAACTACGCAAGCTACAGTGACGTCGTTTCGGCAGCGGAGCGCTTCGACATGGTCAACGCCGGGACACGACGGACGCACGTCGGCAGTACGCGACAGGGCGACCGCTCGGCTCACCCCACGTTCGCCGACCCGATGGAAGTCGACAGGTTCGAGGGGCGGCCACGTCCGAAAAACACCAACTACACGTGTGATTTTTGCAAGGTGCCGGGTCACCGAATCTTCGACTGCAACAAAATGAAAGCCGCACGCGTAGAGTATCGGGCACGCAACAGTGGCGGAATTCCTTCGGCCAATCAGAAGCCAAAAAACGGGAGTCGCCAGTGATTGCGGATCTAGCTGGCGAAAATAAAAAGATCCGAAAGCGGCCGC